GCCTAGACAGCTCTATAGGCAGAGGTTGGGTTCGAACCACAGACCTTTCGGTCAGTAAATTCCCACTCTAACCACTTGGACCATCTTCAGTTGAGATAGGGATACCTCACTGATTAGGACGCAAGCCGACCAGAAAGTAGGTCGTTCGAACTCAACTCCTCCATCTCGACTGCTTCTGTCTAGGTCTGGACAAACTGATAATACCTCAACCCTCGTGCTTCCTTCGGCTAGCGTGGCAGCTGAACAACTATCACGATTATTTTGTTGCTACAGTTGGAGCTGAGTCAAATTGTAATCCGACACTCCTGTGACGCCGAAAAGCAACCTCTGATTCATGATGCTTGTAAGTGGGGTGGACTGATCCGAGGATTTGTAAATAAGCGACAGAAAATTGAAAAGAGGCCTGAAGTCCGAAAAACTGGTAGAGCCACGGTGCATGAACTGACCAAACAATAAGTGTCCTTGACGATATATCAAAATATTGATGGCTCATATGTGCTCATTGGTAGTAGATCAACAGCCACCTGATCCACGATCGACTACAATCTGTTCAGCGCGGACATCCAGATGATCAGATCGAAGATGTGCGGAACTGGGCTGTGGTATTAAAGTAAACCGAACAGCTCCTAATTAGAGTGAGATTTTCCAACTATAATGAATACAACTGAGTGTAACAACAGAGAGATTACTTGAGGAGCCAAACAAAGGGACTCAGCATGCATGACAAAATATTGGGGATTCTTCGTAGATGTAATGCTGGCTCACCTTCTGTGTAACCCCAGTCGATGTTTTCTTTTGTGTCTGGTAAACTGGTTGCGCTTGTGCGGTATTTTGACTGGGAAGACGACCATCTATCTGAGTATTGGAATAATTTACAAGTTGTTTCAGCTGTTCAGCATCAAGTTTCAATGGTTCAGGTTGCTCGACCTGTGTGGCCTCCTTTGTCAAAGGCGGCTTGGATAAGGGATCTGGTGCGTTCTGTTTGCCAGTCTTATCGGGAGGATGTGCATCAGATGTAGTGTGAATTTGGTCTTTTCCCAGCTTTGGAGGAGCGGACTCTATGACTTTGGCAATTGGTAGAGGTTTGTCCTCAGCGGTCCAACAGCTCCTTGCCACTGCCTTCATACTGTCCTCTTCGTTGACCTCATACGACTCGTCAGATTCGTCGTCTGAGTCATCTACCTCGTCTTCGTCGTCAAGTTCGTCTTCATCCACATCCACATCACTATCATCTTCGTCATTTGCAGCTGTGCCCGTCGTCTGAACGGGGCGATAGTAAAAAGAAATGGACACGGTTAGCAGTGCACTACTGTTATAAGCTTTTAAGTAGCTCAAAGTTTTTGACGTAGATAAAGTGGCCTGTGGCCTGTATCGCGATATTTCAAATATCGTAGCGACTGAAACATGAGGTGGCCTGGTGCAGCACATTCAGTTGCCTGAGAACATCATAAACGAGAGATTCGGCTGGGTTCCAATCTCTCGAAAGAACCAAATTAGTTTGCAGATGAGTGTATATTCGCTAATGGCCTGTGGATTCATCAGTTTTGCAAACGTTGTAATCTATGGTGACGACAAATATGACATGCTTTGGAATTTTTCAGTTTAGACCAGATCGATTCCAACTTAAAGTGGGTCAAACGTTTCAAAGTACCGAGGTCACTGACTCCCCAGAAGGAAACCGCCAATCTCTAGTGCACATTAAGACAGCCCGAGTAATGGACAGACAGCAAGCGCCTAAACTGGTGGCTAGTCTCCTTTGGGGTAACGAACCCGTGACCAGTTATATTCCTCTAACAGAGACTTCGACTGACTTGAATCACCGCATTAAGTGTTTCCATTGAAGAATGGATGGGAAAACCACCTGCCTATGGATAATTGCTCTTGTGTCCCTCGTTCAAGGTGCACCGAATCCCCGCGTGCTTCTTGGAAACCGGCTACTCTTACAGAATTGGGAAAGAGAACATCGAAAGCTCTTTGCTCCTAAATTAGTAAAGACGGTCTTATGTGTCGGAAAATGGAAAAGAAACAGACCAGCTGTTGACCGGGCGGATGTGATTAACAAGAATAGACTTCACGGAATAGCACAGCAAACTCAAGATAGACACATGGAGACTTTCTCCGAGGAAATATCTCTTTCCAGGTGGTATGCCGTATTCAGGGTACCGCTGTCACTACCGATTCACAATTTTCACAGCACGGATCCGCTTGAAATGTCAGTCCACATACTCCTCACAATATTTTTCTATGATATGCATACAGACAAGTTGATCGTCCTCACGTGAGAATTCATTTCCGGTTGTTGGGAATCTGCCTCTGCTTTGCTCTTCGTGCCATCCGCCTGCTTTTCTTCAGTTGGTTCCTCTGTCTCCTCCAGATGAGTTGCCAGATCCTTTTGTGTTACAAGCCGTTCGGATTGGGCATCTACTAGCGAAGGATCCCGTGTTGGATGACGCACGCGGCCTTCTTGTGAAGGACGTTGCTTCCCATCAGACTCAGAAGCCAGTTGTTGATTAAGCCCTTCAGCAGCTGGGTGACGCGGCAAGGGGCGCTGCGAGGATGTAAGTGGCGCACCATGCCGAGTCTGCCCCTGTTGGGTGGTTGAGAATCCCGGTGGCACAACCGAAACAGGCTTGTCTGATGTCTGTTGTTCAGGTCTGGCAGGAACTTGTGGGCGAGGTTGCAGTTGATCTAGTCTGTCGACCAAGTCTGTGTAGGGCTTGAAAAGCAGAGACAATGTGCATGCTGTGATCAACCGGAAAAAGGACAAATAGATGACCGAATCGGTAGCTGACAAGCATGGGAAATTGAGGAAGTCGGTAGGAGCTGCGAGCTTTACAGCTGTGATAACTATGGCACCAAAATGTACACCACTTAATAACAAACCAAATGAAAGAGTGTTCAATAGGTAAGGGTGTAAATAGGTATCGTGCACCGCAAAGTAATATGGGAAATTCCGGAAGAAATGTAACTTCTATAATTCAAGTGGATTCCTGGACAAAGCAGAAGGAAACCCTGACTGGGGTATTCAGAACGGAAACTCTCACAAAGGGCCGGTCCAACGAAGAAATCAAAATCTCGTACGTGCAACCAAAGCAACAGCTGTACACCATATAACCTACACGAGTAATAGGTCTCTCGAAATTCCTGCTTTGCCGGAGAATGGAGCAGTGGAAGCTGGGCCAAAATCAATGGATTTGGTTTCGACTTCATAGGTGCAAGGTCACAAATCGTGACTGTGGGATAGTGAATGAAGTGTTTGACCTGAAGTGACTTCGATAACTTCACAAAAAAAGACATTGCCTATTGGTGTAGGCTCATCGCTACACCGCTACCACACAATGGGAAGGAAACAACGCGCAACGATCACCTAGCGTAATTCTCACTGAAAGGCGCACTAAAAGTGCGGTCAAACAAAATGTTTTTTTTTGTGAATAAGAAAGATCCAGATCAAGAAAAGCTGAGCCGGACCAGACGTTCGGTCCTTACTGTGACCAAGCAGGAGGGCGTAAAGGAAGCTATCACGTCCGTTTCGGGCTCATAAGCCAAAGGGGCTATGAATCCGCCCAACCCGAGTCATACTTCCAAAAACCACTTCAACTGATGGTGAAATACATCCAGATTTTATTTATTATAAATCGCACAGCACTGATCGATCACACATGAAACCCGACTGGAGGATTTACTCAAATTCCGACTCCCTGAGACCAAACCAAAGGCGATGTAATGAGTAGATAACGAAATTACCTTTCTCTCGAGATCACATACCACACGATTTGTAGGTGCAGCCTGCCCGTAAAAATTTTGCCTTGCTGTTGCATCGTCCAGTTGCATGGCTTCGGCTGTCCTTTTTCCATGGGCAAGTGCAGGTAACCCACCGGAAGAAGTTACGTGGGCCCCACGTTGGTTGAGCCGATGACTCACAGTTGCCTCCACCAGGTGTTGCTCTGCCGCACCGGCCATGGTCGGTGGCATGGGCGTGGTAACCATACCAATTTGGCTTAATTGAGCAACACCGCTTGGAATCTGTTGGTGATGCTGTTGGTGGTTGTTGCCTGGCGAAGAAGGCAGAATGATGGGTAACTTGAGTTCGGTAGTCGGGTTTCCCTCCATTACCTTCAAGATTCGAGGAAGATAGTGTACCAAACGATCCAGAGTGTGATCCCAAGCGGTCCTGAGCATGCCAAAATGAAGAACACATTGATGAAATACGCTTGCATGAATGGGGCAGGATTCCGATACCGGGTTGCACTGTCACTATCAAATATGCCCCTCAGACTTAAACTAATGAGTATTGCCAGGAGATAGGAAATCATGGCTAGAATCATTGTAAAAAGTCATCACAGGGGCATACATGGTCACCATACAGCACATAGTTGGCTGTAAACTTTCCGTCAGATCGAAAACAGGAGAAACGGAGGCAAGGAAGAACTTGATTAAAAGGGAATCCGGAGAAACGGGGGCATCATCATCATCATCAAGGACAGCAACATCAGTGTTGCCACTGATGCCTCACTGCCGTACTGTAACATAACCAATTAATGAAAAGACAGTTCTAGATCAATAGTAAAGACCGTGTACCTGTGCAATGGTGTGCAATGCTGATGAAATATGCGAATGGTGTCTGGTCAAGTGTCAAAGCGCCATTCCTGTGGCTGATGGAAGGTCGATATGGGAATTGCTGAATCGCTATGCAGTGTTTGATTACTATTTTTTCGTATTCAAACAAACCAAAACCGAAGAGAACGCTTGAGGATGTCAACTTTTCAAAAACCCTGTGCGAATAAGATTACTTTTGTGTCTGATAGCGTGTAGCTACTTACTTCGTGTTAGTCAATAAACAAAGGAACTCTTCCTTTCACAAGTAGCGAGGTTCATTTCATTGACTGACCCTTGTTCAAGTTGACTTATTGGGTCAGGATGCCTTACTTTGTTAAGTGGTTGATTAGCTCACATCAACTTACAAATGGTTGTGAAGTTGACGGAACGAAACGAACTAGCTGAGCACTAGGGTGATTGGTGTCTTCAGTTGTAGCAGAAAGCCCTGAGAACACATGGATGCCGAGTGTGGGTTCCAACCACCTCAAATTTTCAGGGTACTTTTATGCGTACGCATTTGAACTCCATACAGATTCACCGTACCACAAGGGATCAAAAGCAGGAGACTGTGTGACTGGTACAATTGGTCAGACGCTGACATTCACGCGTTCGTCGCAGTGACCAACAGTGCTTGAAGAGTCACCGACTCTAACTATGCACTAAGCTTGGCAAGCTAAACCAAGATTCTTTAATGATGTTAGTGGCTTTCGTCACAAGTATGAAAGGTTACTTTGTCAAGTCGAACCATAGAGTTGCAGCTTTCGACCCACGCACGATGGCCGCGATACTACTTGGTCAACGTGACAGGAACAGGAGCAATCGAGGATGTTTAAACCGCCGACCACCCTCATCAGCAACTCAAATCTTTCTTGCCGCACCGGTTCAAGTCTTTAAATATGTCAAGACTGCAGAGCTGTAGAACGAAAGTGGTCACGAACTTGCATTAGGATTCTAAGGGATTTTCATAGCCACGATAAAATAGTGACAGAACTCGTAAAATGTTGACACCGCAAGACGTATTCGGTTCTAATGAGGATTCGCCAATTGCACGTAGCATAGTTCAACGAACCCGTGACCATGGTGACAGTCGGCAAGCTAGTAGACCACTATATTACCAAGGCACCAAACATATTGTTCTGTGTCCGTTAGTGTCCACCGTCAAATCACGTGCGACCTGTTTACGTTTGACACCTTATTGTACATATGTTTTCCTTTTACCCGTTTGAATTTTCATTCCGAAAATCAGACCAAAATTGTGCACGCCGACAATATACAGACTTGATTCTACAAGAAGTCAGCAAAGCGAAGAATTACAGAATCGCATTGGGGTTGAAGACAGAACTGACAGAACTTTTCTCTGAAGACAGTAAGAGCTCAACACAGTTTGGAAGTCACTGTCGGAAAATTACACGCAAGCTGGATACAGGGACGTAGGCGTATGTATAAATACTATGCACACGAAAACTGAAAAAGCAACTGGTAACCTGAAGGAGAAACAGGAGGGACTCGGCGAGACAAAAAACTTTACCATGCAGTATAAATCATGCGAATCCTAAGAGGTTCGTCACTCACTTCTAGTTATGAAGTTTACCAAGTACTTTACAAAAGATTATCGGCATGGTTGAAGTCGTCATGAACCGAGGAAATGCAAAGTATCAATACTAGACCGAAATCCGGAGAACTCGTCACGAAGCCATCCTTAATGATCGCGGTGACAGTCAGGCGTAATGCAGATATGCATAACTAGGATTTGTGGGAAGTTTCGTTAAGAACACTGATTTGATTTATTCCGTCGTACGTGTCAGGCCACATCTCCACATCAATATATTAAAACGTATTGAACAGTACAAGTTCCGTTTATGAGTGGCTAGATGGCCCAAGTGGTAAGAGCGCGAATTTACTGACCGGAAGGTCCGTAGTTTGCATCCGAGCTCCCCCTCTTAACTTCCCCTGTCTAGGCTTGAGCAACCTGGCAGTATCCCAGCCCTCATGTTTCCTTCGGGCAGCATGGCAACTAGGCACCGGAAGGGTGCTACAGCTGAACGCATTAGAAGCATTAGTTCCGTTCCTGTGGAGAGGAAAACTAGCTTCATATCCGAAAAAGTATGCCTGGACACAGAGTACCTGGAATAACGGTTGTTCCTCAGTTCAGTTTTGAGTTTCATTATCCTAAGCTAGCGCCATAGCAGAAAGAACCCCAAGAGTACACAGGACGTGGTGAACGCCCAAAACAAGTATAGGAAAACGTACAGCGCGTCGCACTTAAAGCGTACACAACGGCAACATTCTGGAAATTCGGAAGCTTTCTGGGCACACCACCGGCAGGCGGCATTCAGCGGATACTGTAACACGAGCGGCTGATGGGTACCAATTTTCAAACAGTCAAAGCTCATCTTAATAAGGGACCGCAAAGCGACCCGATCTTGTAACCAGTCATGTGCGAGGTATGCTAATCGGGTGTTGAAGCAGCTAGCGGTAAGGTGGTTGTGGAGTAGAATTCCACCGAACAGTATCGCACATATTGGTGTAGACTCCAGAGCTTTGAATGGAACAAATAAGTTCACCCATGTGACTCAATACCAAAAAGCAGTCATCGAAATCGCTGGCCTGCGGACGACTCACCACATTGAATGCCGAAAGGTGGTAGGTAATGCAGGAGCAGACACCGGTGTACATCCGTAAGTTTTCATGATACGTTCTGCGAGCAAAAAGTTTCTAAACAAACCCGCAACCAGCAGATCTTGGCGGAATAATTTCTGAAACAGATCGATCGGGAAGCTGCACCAGGCAATCGTGTCCGTGACTGCCGTAAATATCCAGTTGATCTCGCCCAAAAGCGACATTCGATTTGAATGAGCTCCAGGAATGCGGTCCAAGAGAGCCTCATCCAGATAGCCTTAAAAAAGCAGGTTATATCATAAAAGACAATTAATTTGACACAAATTCGCCCGACTAACAACCGGTGGATTAACCTTTTCAAACAGATAAGCCTTGGAGAAGATATGAACCACTACAGCTGAAAACCATGGGACAATCACACATTAGAGTTAGTCATGGATAGCCTTAAAATAGTTAGATTTCTGAATGACCAGTGGCACACTGAATGCTAAGCAAGGGAATTGTTGTCAAAGGTGTTCAAAACCGCAACTATAGTTTAAAAAACGTGCAAGCGGAGGATTATCTAACCTGGGAATGATTCTTGATGACGGAGCCAGTGCCAACGTAGCGCCATACGAATCGGAGTTGTGAGACAGGCCGTGAACAGATCGGCCGGAAGTTCGGGGTTCTGAGGCAGATCCTCGTCCTCTCGACAAGCAGCAAGCATGATTGTGTTTTCCATGGTAACCGGAGGATTGGTGACGAGGTGCGGGTTATTCGGAGCGGGAGTAGTGGATCCGGGTGGCTAGAACAGAATGAGTGAGAACAGAAAGTTGAAGGCTTGGGAAATCAACACCAAGAAGTGCAACAGTCGTCCCAAGTAACTGTCCTGCTCCTAACAAAAATCGGTCGGTTACGTTACTCTCAGGGTACGAAGCTACCAGGCAATCCAAATTATGAAGACTGAGATACTGCCCGGTTACCCTAGCCTAGACCGGATAATCTGACAGAACTCATTGACACAGTTGACTGTCCGTGTTCATTTTGGGCCAGAAAAGTACTGCAAGCAGAGAACTTTGGTAAGATGTTTCCAGGTAAGCAGAGTTTGGTGCCAGAGGATTAGAGTCATCATTACACTCTATGACCCCTGAAAAAGCCCATGTCTGGAAAAACATGGTGGCGACTGCATGAGCATGCATCACTTCCACGGACTGAGCTGCCGTTACCACTGAATCAGAGACAGAGGTAAATGGATAGGTGTGTAAAACTAGACGGATAGATTTTTCATCACACTGGTGACATTTTTTGAGTTGGTAAAACTCGTTGGAAGCGAGTTCGCCCGAGTTGAATGAGGTGCGTATGCGGTGTGATCATATCAGATTAAGCGTTTTGAAAATTCACAGGAATAACATGTCCACCCGTGACTCATTTAGGTCAGGTTAACAACACAAACAAACAGTCCCAGTCATGTCACACGGATTACCGCTTAAGAGTTTTATGCTGTCAGTTTCTATGTGGCATTATCCCCGTAAAAAAAATAAATGGTTCAGCTGTAACACCCTTCCGGTGCCTAGCAGCCATGATACCCGAACGAAGCACGAGGACTGGGAAACTGCCAGGTTGCCGAAGCCTAGACAGGGTTCGGGTTCGAACCACGGACTTTCCGGTCAGTGGTGGATCGTGACTACAATACACTGACCTGCACACGTAGTCACACCAAGGAAAAACGCCGTGGTAACTGCTCACCTGTGCTTGAGGTGGACCAGCACATGCATCCAGATTTGGCACGGGACCATCACGAACTGGGTTGCCAAGGTTGGTCGATCCACCACGATTTTCAGAGGTCTCCGTCTGCTGTTGCCGTTGCGCAGCCGCCAAGTTCTGGTTTGAAAATAAACAAGGTAGAATAGGGAAGAACGCACACTGGTATGACCGGCGTGTGTCCGAGACGATCACAGTTCAACTAAATCAGCCTTATCGCAAGAAGAAAGCAGAGTGAAGTTCAAGGGCAAGCTATCGCCTACGGTTGGACGCCCTTGAGAAATCTGAAGATATCTGCTTCCCGGATCACCGTTCAATCAACTGGAGGACGCTAGAATGCCACCAACTCAATGCTGGGCTAACTTCGCAAGGTGTAAAAAGCTGCTTGTGATAAACTGCCATCCTCAGGCCTACCGACATGGCTATCCTTTTCGAAAACAGGTTTGGATGTGGGCAGTTTGGAACTCAGTGAGCGACTGAATGGGTATTTCTTCTTGCCCACCCTGCATTATCACATTTCTTGGAGAGAACCTCGCGCTCACCTCGTGAGGCTGAATTCACTGTCGGCTTACCCGTAAGTCCCTTCGGGATTTAAGCTGGGCTATGGTCTCACAAGCAACAGGAAGACAACGCAACACAACACAACCAATTACAGGTAGATCAATCGAAATTGGAATAGGCTAAAAAGGTTTGAGGCGCATATATGGGGAAAAAGGCAACGCAAAAAGCAACCCAGGTGGCAGACATACCAATAAAGTTACGGGTAATACGACTGTTAATCTCATGCCAATGACAAATATAATATAATCTCTGAGAACCTAGCTAAGCATAAGCAGGAAAACAGAAAACGCCCACCCAACCGAGCACTGAAAATGCACTCTCAAATATGAGGGGATCATCATCATCATCGACAGTATGACATCAGTATTCAACACCGATGCCTTACTGCCGTATGAAGGGATAGTTTGTAAACCACTTGTCATGATCAATATACAACACAGTCGAAAATGAATCATAACACACCTACCTCAGCCATTCTTCGGCGACAAAATATTTCGTACATACGAATGACTCGGCCAGCATTTTGACAATCAAACACGTAGACGGACGGAGCACCCAACCACCGTTGTAGATCGTACAAGGATAGAGGGATGTATTTCGTGAATTTCTGATGAATTGGGAGAAACAATACTAATAATTAAATAAACTAAATTATTACTAATTAAACCAAATTTTGGTCACTGTCCGAAGACCACCCAAAGGTAGCACGAAGGTGATTATAATGTCAGGTTGTCCAAGCTTTGTAAGGTGCGATCAAAAGTCAATAAGGGTTTTGAATCAGTAGCCACTGTGAGAACTTCGCAATAAAGCCCTTAAGTCTCACCCTAAGGGACGAACATGAGAAGTCGGATGGTAACAAACGTTAATGATGACTGAATACCTGAGCACGCAGAGTAAATCCCCTTAGTAAGAACCACTTCGGATTATCCGTGGACTTATCAACAGGATCTCGGATTTGTTGGTGTCTATTGAGTACAAAACATAAATTCTTAGGTGTCCACAAAACAAATGTAGCGGAGAAAATCCGGAAAAAAATTGTGGTCTTAACCGTGTCTCGTAGATGAGTCTTCATATCAGAAGCTGGACCGAAAGACAACGCAGTGTTCCCGAATCCTACCAATTTTCCAATTCTCCAAGAGCAACCACCCGAACATGGACAGGGTTCAAACTCGAAATAATTCCACGTATTGTGTAAATTACACTCAGTTGCACACAAATTCGGTTTAAACGGGAGACTCAACCGAATCCCGGCTAAGTCTCTCGTTTATAACATTGCTCAACTGAATGTGCTGTACAGTAGATGTCGTATAGAAGTATATCTGATGGGAACATCATCATCATTGTCACCTGTAATAACCGCGTACTCGTCGTACAGTGGTTGTAGCTGCTGCAGTTTCGTTCACCGATGGTTTGGGGGTAGGTAGCTGCGCATTGCAGGCGGGAACATCGGATTAACAATGCCAGAAGGTCTTCGGTTTAGCTCTAACGCGATGGATAAGCTAATTCACGCCGCACAGGCTATGCTGGTTAGGAAGTGAACGTCGTTTGTGGGGAGACCAGCTAACTCCCGGAGTTTTTTGGTCCTGTGCTGAGTGCAAAAGACTGGGGGTAGTCTATGACCTGAAAGCCTAACGGTACTATCCGGTAAACTCAGACGGGTTGATAGCTGTCGTCTCTTGATGGGAACTTCTGTAATCAACTCAACAACGGTTATTGACATTGGCAAATATGGCTCAGTGCCTCAGTCAGCGCTGCTCCACATTCAAAGCTATTGACATTCCGTAGGTAGCCATCCTAGCCCTCAGTTCATTAAGGATCTAGAAGGATTCAGCCGCATCGTTGTTCCGACAATTGCCTCTAAGCCTAGACAGGCTTGAGCAACCTGTTCGCTGGAATATAAAAGAAGCAGCTCAAGTCTACGCCCAGACCATACAACAAAAAGATATACCAACAGTTAGAAAACTGGGAATAGGAAACAAATTGAGAAATATAACGCCATTCCCCACCGTATTGAACACCCAAATTTCGCCATTTTCTGTTGGCCTCGGTACCCCATGACCATTATAGTGAAACAGGATCCGATCGCCTTTCACGTTGCGACGCAAACTAATCGTCAGGTTTTTAACATCTTCCAAAGTAGGATCCAGACACTGCTTGAAACGCGCTCGAGGCTGCCAACGTTCATACTGAGCCTTTTTGGAACAGAGGGGAAAAACAGAGAAACAGGGGAAGTTATTCAAACTCATCACCAGTTCACGAACACGATATGGTCGGGTGCCAATACTTTTCGTGAAGCAATGTCTTCAGCAGAGAAGATTAATGGTACTCACTAAATATTATGATTAGTACAATATAGAAAAACAGACTGTTCGGGTACGATATCTGTTTGGTGCACAGCTGCTCTGTACTACGGAAGAGGATCGGTATACGATCGGGTTACTCGAATCCGGAACGTGTGGAAAAGAACCATGTGCAAGTTAGAGCGACGGTCATTCATTCAAGAACCCATGTGATAAATCTAGTGCCACAATCGCCCCCTTCCCACAAGAGGTGATACCGTCTGGCCTAACCTGTTCACTGAAGAACGGAAGCATTCCCTAAAAAGACCGCATTCATCAAAAGTCACGTAGAAAATATAAGAAAAACTACTTGCACCACACTGCTGAGATCAATCGCAGCTGCAACCACCAAAATAGGATACTGCCGTTGTTCAGTGTTCCCCTCAATAGTAGTTTGTTATACGACGGGCACCTATGAGTTATAACCGTACGGAACTCACTGGTTCAAGTGTGACTTTTCATGCTGTGCGTTTAGATCACGAATTTCAAGGCTTACGAACTCGGCCGCTACTCTATGATAAGTAACACAAAATCCGGGTTATTATACCTACGACAGCGTCTGGCCCATTGTGGGGTCATACAAGGGACACATGGGTCTTCGACGTTCGGATAGTCACGCAGCTGCGTTGGAATCGCGTATGGAGTTCACATTGATCGGCACGATACGGGGTAGCACAATTAGCAGCATAGTGAACAGGGCAACAGCCCGGCAAACGGAAGGTTGATGGTTCGAGTCCATACACAAGTCTATATTTTAGTTCATACAATTGAACTTCTCATCTCCGTATATATGGATTCTCTCGCACTTCGGGTCAACTGATTATTGACATTGTAATATTACCTATATGCTTCTTACACCTGTGAAATCGATCTGCTCCAAACGCGTTTATCTCAGATGAGTGGAAAGGCAGACACCTCTTTCGGTAACAAACCCCTGGGAAATCTCAAGTAGTCTAGATAAGAATACTGCCTGATTTGATGTTTCACGCCAAGATAATGCAAAGTCTTACCACAAGACTTGGTGGGATCAAGAAAGTGGATTCTTACTAACCAGTCGATAAGTTTACACACTCAGGCAATTGTGCTGAGGCTGGCGGCTCGGAGAAAGAAGCAATCGATGGCCTACAGAACACCAACGGCACCAGTGTCATATCAGCTTGCCTTTTGAAAGCCCAGTCTGCAAAGCGACGGTGCGCCATCATCTTCATCAGAGACAGTAACACCTGTGTTGACACTGATGCTTCACTGCCGTACAACCATAAAGTTCGCCTAATCGTATTTAAAGCCAGAGTGAAAAGATAACAAGTGGGTGATAGAGGGGATCTAGTGCTGGCCTATATCAAGCATTCTGAGGTGCCTACACTTCCAAGCGCTCAATCAGACAATCTGGAAAGAAACGGACAGCACGGACGACACTGGAATCGATTAGCCGCTATTTCCCGTCTATTCTTGTCTCCAGCCAAGAACAGACGGGGTCACGGGGACTCCATTCTGGAAGGTGTGCAACACCAACAATACACAAACTCTTCGTTATCTCTTTCACGCCTTTCTGCCAAGTCACACATTTTCCACCTCGCGGTTTGCGCCATTCGGAAAGGGGGACGGAGAACAACAATCGTCTCGGTAGATGGTGTTTCGCCATGCATAACACATGACGGAGCCATCCTAGTCGATGGTGGTAGATGTTCTTCTCGATTGAAGTGCCTGCCGCACAACCGAATACCTGTTTTCTGATCACGTTACTATCCGTTGACGCCACCCAAAACCAGCAACGTTGCTCAGACATCGGTAGTCAAAAACCTCAGATCATCCGTCCGCAGAGGCCGCGTCAAGGTAAGTCCTGTGATTACCACATTCACTAAGAGTACCGTTTTTGAAAATGGGCAACAATATTGATTCACTGTAGAGAAAGGAATACAGGTGAACGGGGAAGGGACTTGGTGCAAGCTTATTACAGTCATTCCGAGGTACCTACACCTCCAGACATTTATTGAGGCAATATGGATAGAAACTGAAAAAAACTGACATCGGTAAACAGCAGTGTCTCCAAATGGGAGCAGTGGGGATCACGCGGTCCTTATCCTGGAAGGCGAGCAGCACCGACCGAGCGAAATTTGTCCACGCAATCTACCCACCGTATCCACTAAGACGCAAGCGCAGACTGAAAGGGTAACTGGATACTCAACTACAGCTCCTACTGGGCTCCAAGCACGGGTGGAGAGCGCCCGGAACTGTCTACTGGAGCCCGTTATCAAAGCATGTTTGGAAAATTCTCTAAAAGATGCAAGACTCTATGGGGCCATGCAGTTTCCGCCGCGACGGTCACCCGTGAAATTGTTTCGCAAGGACACAAGTCAACTCTGCGACGAAATGGAAATGATAAAGCTGACAACGAATACCTGTTTTTCTCAACTAAGTCAATTAAGTCAACGAGAGCAACGAAGAACGTCGACTTATTTGCAAACAACGGCACTACCTTGGTTTTCGGCAAAAGGAGTCGTACTGTGTTAAAACGAACCTGTAAATTTCTTCCGATAACTTCAAGAGCACGTAAGCTATTGGCATCTGTAGGGTCGAACCAAGCCTCAACCTTGGAGTATGGAGGTATTTTCTGAACATCCGGGGGGTCAATATCGATGTTGAGACAGACGACAAGGGCGCTTGCACCAGTTTTTGTCTACGGAAATCGATCAACCAACCGCAGAATACCTTTTCCTTGTGGTGTTTTTCTTCGTATAGTACACTTCCTTCGATTTCTTCGCAAAGGTGCCGTGAAGAAAAAGCAACGCGTGTTGACAACAAAACTCTCTCTTCAATATCTTCTTCTGAAAGCGACAACGAAGAATCTTTTTGTGTTACCGGACTCGAGCACATGGAAACCATAAGGGCGGGGGCATGCGCTGGGTGGTCTGCAATGCCACAAAAAGACCCTGAGGTCGAACCAGCTTCGACCGATTTGTTGAACTAAAAGTTCAGTGCGTTAATTAAACCCAGCAAATGCGCTACAAGGAGCATAATATTTAGCAACTCAAAGAAATTGGCCTCATGCTGAACTAGGGGTGGCGACTTATTTAAATTTATCCATATAACCAGGTGAATATGGAACGCAGTATCCGCACAATGAAATTGAATTTTCGGAAGCTATCACATGTAACTGATGGGCTGGGGCAATTAGACAATGGACTTCAAAGTATCAGTCCAAACTTTCGAGCCCTACTTAGGCATCAATGGTTCTCAGGATATTGGAAAAATATTCCACCTTACTTTTACGCTAGAGGAATGATTGCTCTAGTAACAACGAAATTAGGTGAGCTGCAAAAATGTGAGAGTATATTAGGCTGGTTTTGGGTTTGAGTACAAACGCAACAAAATGCAACGTTTATGTGTAGAAAGTTTTACTCCACATTCGAAGATTTTGCAGCTAAGAGCATTGTGCGGCTAATTGTCTCTGATGGAAATCCGGCAAATCCAGGCAAGCGATGGCTAACTGGAACCCCAGACAGGATGGATAGAAAATTGGTCCACCAGCGGTTTCTCTGGACGGAAAAGTTGCGACTGTTGATCTTCTGGTCAAGATAGTAGTAGTCATCAACACTTAACTAGTGGATCCAAATCAACTTTGATCTTTAGAGGCACACACGAAATCCTTCGTAGTTAGTAATGAGATCCGCGGTAACTTCAACATTACAACGTTTCGGTTCAACGTATCAAAATCTACGATGGGTGCGAAATTCAGATTTCAAAGACCGCCAAGGCCCGTCAAGGCTGATGCATATCGGGCGTATGCGAAACCGTACGAAACCGTTGTGTGCAGATGAAAGACGATTCTGTTAAGATGTGGTGGTTTTTAAATGTGCGCACAAATCAAACAGGACTACCGCATGCTTTAATTGTTTAAATCCGCTGGAACTACTCTTTATCCGCAGCCTGTAAAATCAATCGGAAAAAGTGCGAGACAGTTAGTAAGTTGAGCGCATTTCCCAGTTGCAGGCAGCGCGTGGAACACCGTTTGCGCCGATTTTGCTTGAGAAGGCAGAAAGCCAATCGTCCAGTAATATCTTAACGCCTTATAAAGTTATAAAATAATCAAGCTTTTTCAGTCCGACCGCCCGTAAACTGGCGAATAACGGTGGATTTGTTTTTGGATCGCCGACACATGAAGGACCGTCATCTGAAAAGGTGATCTTTACCAACCGGAAAGTTCAACAAGTTCTTTTGAACTCACGAAATTTACTAATATCCCTAAACTCATCGACAGTCCCCGTTGGGTAAGCGACTGTTCTTTTGTTCTATTTTTTGGCCGACGTCCGCGAGTGCGGTCGTGCACTCTTGTTACATCTGATGGAAAACTCGTGCAGCTAATGTGTCCACCCACATAGTGACAAATTGTGTCGCTACATTTCTAAGGCATCGCGAACATCACCAGAGCACGGGAACTAGCTGGTTCGGGTTAATCTTGTCAAATCCACCAGCTTTCACCGCATTAGCGCAAGCTCCGGATCTTCCTAATAGCAAGGTGCATTTGTACTGAAGTCGAATCGTGAATATTCCCGTAAAAACAAGCAATCCGCTCATGTACGTTAGCTGGTGACCTTCCCAAGGAAAAGACGGACGAATAGCATCAAATCAAGATGTTCGTGATGGTTAAAAGCGCAGCCGGAATTATCCTCAGCTGAGGAGCGCACAGATTCCACCGAAGCCTGGAAATGTTGAGCAGCACGGATTCACGATTCGTCCCTTACCTCACGGTCTACAGGCTGCGTATCACTCCCTGGTGGGCTGTCCACGCACACTCCGTGGTGGCTTAATTTCGCAGTGAGCACAGCAGCATTCTAGAGAACGCCAGTGTTCTCTTTAAAGCACGGGCGAGGTAATCTGACACCTAATTATGCCATTCGGAAGGTGTCTCGCCTCTCTGAGTGGCTCATACATCATTCGGGGTATGAGAACACGGGCTCCTGATTCCGCCCAATGGTTAGGCCAATTCAGATAAACAGACAAGGTGCATTGAGGGGATTGGTGGTGGGGAGTAAGCGTCCACCAACAGCTTAAGGAGTAAAAGTGATGTCGTTCTGACAATTTGTTTTACTTGGATCTGAGTCAAAGGATATTAGTTTCAACCTGCTCACACTTTCCGGGTGTTCGTATCCCTTAAAATCTGACAACTTCTGTACTATCTCCCCCCTTTCCGCAAAAGACTGAATGGTTAGCAATCCACCCTTCGTCTGCATTCCCACTCCTAAAAGAGTTCCCCGCCTTATTTGGATTCTCATACCGCAGCTTCTTCCGTGGGTTCCGATGGGTTTACCCTCGATTTTTCCTTTGCCCCAGTGTTAAGTACGCAGCGACTGAACCTGAGCACATATCCAGTTAACTGCCAGACCACCGATTTCACTCAATACTAAACTTCACTTCGAGTGACACAAACAACTTTCTCACCATAGCGATATGGGCGCTATCGAAACTATCAATAAATTTAACAGTATGCACACGGAATTGAAAGACGCAGCTATTGTCCAACTCCTTAGCTTATCGCTTGAGCTTGCCCTGTTTGTGGCGCGGATACAGTTATATCATATCAGGAGTGTCTGAACTAGCCGCGGACATTTTCTGATAGTCTAGCATTATCGCGAAAGTGAACATTAGCAGCAATACCTCAGCATGAACGATGAGACAGGCGAAATAGGAATCCACATGGAAGACATGGAAAAGGGCTTCATTGTGGCCTGAATTAACAAGCAGCTTCCGGTGTGTTGATTTTATCTGAGATGTGGAGGCCTTTTTGCCATAATCATATACGGAACGAAAATTTTTGATGTCAACTCCCCACCCTCCCACTAGGCCGTCGCTACGACTGCAACTTAGGTACACGTTCGAGGCGCGATGTCTTCGAAACCGAGAGATGGAACTATACTACGTGTCTCTACAATGGATTTGTGTACATCCACCGGTGGATTTATCTTTGCTGCGTTCCATAATGCGATTGGCCACTGTATCTCGGCATCACCGCACCATCGTATACCTGGCTTCCTTACATCAACAACAGACCGATTGAGCAAATTATTTTGCCTTTGTAACTGTTGAGCATCTGATCAATTTTCGATGCTTCTGAGGGTTAGTTAGCATACGTGTTCCATTTCAGATCCATCGTGGAGCGGGAGGTGTTTACAGTGAATGAAATGGGGTGACCACGAGTGCATAAAATTGATAAACCATACTTCGCGAGTGGTGGCCTTATAATTTCCCGACGCGAGCATGCCGGTGAGACAACGCATACCATCATGCTGATCGAAGATCATTGTTGACCATCGCATAAGGCAATCATGTATAGTTAAACCTTCATAACCAGCCTCCTACATTTACACGGGCCAAGCAGTTGCAGCACGTAGGCGAGGTAAGCGATAAGGCGTAAAGTTTCTAGGACAGGGGGCAGCAGTTAGTCTCATTTTCCGGGAAATTCATTACGCTTTTCGACATAATCAAACTTAGTGGATCATGCTTCCCATTGGGACGCATCTCTTACCCGGACGGTGCAGCGCACATGCAGCCTAATGAAAACGCTGTATTATCCCCTGACTAGTTGCGCGTTACTTAGTATGCAAGTCACTCAACGAGATGCATATTCATATCAAAACAGTGAAATGCATCAAGCTATGTTCAAGTTTTGTAACACATGCAAAGCGGATTCCCAAAAAACAGTGTTTTTTGGTCGAGCCCCGTAGGCACAATGTTTTTTTGGCAAAATCTTTGAGAGTGGGATGAAACTTTTCATGTCAAACTGTTGCATTTTGCTACATCTTTGCTCAAATCGAAAAATCATTCTTATTTATGGTAATTTCTTGCTATTTGTTTTAATTTACCCCGCATCAAAATTTTCGTTCCGCTTTCGACTTTGAACTTGCTGTGCTATGGATCCGAAAGTGGCTTCACACGCGCTTGCTGAGGTATTTGTGGCTGTACTCTTTCTATCCTTCACGTGTAAGTATGTGAAATTTGTGCATTCGCCCAGTAATCAAAGCACCTATGCTGTTTTGCATTTTGAGTATACTACACATGAAGCAGGTGACCACCAGAAAGTTGAGAAATCCGAAGAAGATAGTAAACTGATCGTGTTTTCTAATAGAACCAGTAGGCGAAGCACCGGCTTTCCGGTTCGGTTTTGTCTACGGAACTACCTATCGGTCATCTCTTATTACCTTGAACACAACCTTAAAGTTTCTAAGTTTTTGTACCATCGGGTCTCGGTTAATCGGCGGTTAACCGAAGACGAGTTAGGCAACTGCAGGGCCCTTCTTAAGTATGCAGCGCCGTTGTGTAATTTTTGGTTGTTCATGGCCGATGGATTCGGCAAGATACTCGCCGAAAGGATGTATACGTCCATAGTGCAAAGTTTCGACCGGCTCTGTTGAATAGGTGCCGCATAGGTGCGTTTCATTGTGACAAACGATATAGCCTTGGCCCTGTCAAAACATCGAGAGGCCGGACGTCTGTTTGTGCGGCAGTTGGTGAAAGCTCAGCGTACCCACATATGCTTCTCCCGATAGCAGCAGTGAGTTGTTGCGTTGCTTTACAGATGTGGTGATACTAGACGGAACGCAGGCAGTAAATCGTTTTGAGCAAAATTTTTTAAAGCATCTAATGTTCGGCCTGCAGACACAAGCTGTGTACCTTCCTGATGATGGGCATGAATACCGGGCGTCCGGCCGTGAATGCGTTCGTGGAGAGCGAATAGATTACTCCTATGCGTAAACCGCTCGACGCATTCATGGAAATGTTGGAATAACAGTATTTAGTTAAGACTTCCGTCATAGAAAAGTTGGCGACTCAAGTGAGCGCTGCAAGATTCGTGTTCGGCTGCAACGTAATGCTGTGCCACGCTCATATCAAAGGAGCTATCAGGAAGCACGTATGATAATAGTAATAATAATGTTTATTCCCAACTTGTGGGTGGCATACCGCCTGGC